TGCTTTCTTTTTCTTTAAAGAACTCCTGTTAATAGAGGCCAACCTGGATTATTATTTTTTTTAGCCCTGGGAGACGCGCCTTTAGCCAGCAGGACAAGCTGAGCCCATGTGCTGTCCAGGGTCCTGATTTCTCTTCCTTTTTTCGAAAATGACTAATTGGCAGTTGCTTATCCACGAAGTGTGTTTCGCCCGAGGATATGTTCTCATCCACCGCCCTACTCAATTTAGCCTGCCTGATTAAACCCAGCAAAATCGATAAAAATCACCTTTATTCGTCATGGCTCTTGGCGGTTACCTGGCTCCCGCCTGGCCAACAGGTACCGCCAGATTTTTCTTTCAAACTGGTTGCCTCCGTAACTCGCTTTGGTACTCGAAGCCCAAACGTTGGCTCACTTTTCGGTGAACCGTGCACTTCTTGGGGCAAAATATGCGTCTTCTATGTATATTTTTCCTATACGGCTGTTACATTATAGTGTTATGTCTTTGAGTTTTGTTTATTTGTTTCCTTGTTTTTTTTGGGGGGGGGGATGTCCTAATTTTCTCGAACCAACTTACTTTTCACAGAAGGTTGGAGAGACACGGTTCTTCTTGCCTGCTGCGGATCATAAATCACTCGATATAAGACAGGCTTCCTCCTTCCAATAGCTGCAAGCTATTATTAGGAAGGGAGGGGAGGACGGCAGCATCCTTTCTCTCTCTCTCTTTCGCTCGTTCATTCTCGCAGGTGCAATATGAATCAATTATCTTAATTAAGATAATGCCGCAAACCCAAGAGATTTCCTTAGGATGGATTTTGCACGCCGGACAAGCGTAAGGCATTTTGATAGCGTCTCTAACGCGCTCCCGCCCCGCCTTTTCGCTTGATTCCTACGAAGGCGTGATTCTCGGCGTGTTCAGGCACCAAATACTTACCGTAGCTATCCCCAGTTTCTTAAAGAGCAAAATAAAGCTTCGCACGCAGCTAACCTCCGCTGCCTTCCGCGGGACTGAATTGGTAAAGGAAAATATGTGTACAAATTATGCTTTCGTCCTTTACTTACAGCGTTTATTATGCACTGCTCGAGTTTATAACTATTCCGCCGGTCACCCCAAGCTATTCGGACTTCGAAGTAATACAGGACCCGAGCGAGGCGGTTAAAAGTCACCAAAAAGCAGGTGGGCGAAGGGAATGAGGAGGCGCCGTTCTTTTAAAATGGAACAAACGAGCGTCTGTTTGTGGGGTTTTTTAGTAAGGACTTGCCTCGCTTTGCCAGTCCCTCCCCGGCCTCCTGAAGCTCCCCCCCCTCGTCCCTCTGGCTGTTGCTGTTCGCATGGGGGCAAAGAGCTGTAAGCGGCAGATGAGCTGCAAAGCGGGCAGCCGAGGGGAGAGCGGATTTGGGACGCGACAGAAGGGGCGGTGAGCCGTGAAAGAGGCTTTTGTTGAGGACGCGTGTAGCTCGCGTGGCGCTCGGTGGGCGCGCGTCCTGGAAAGGAAACGGCCGGAGGGGAGGGGGTGGGAATGGTTGCGGGAAAAGTCCGGGGTGTCTGGTATATATGCAAGAATGATCTCGGGAAGGAGGGAGGGGGAAGACAGGCACAGAAGGGAAAGGTACTGCTGGATGCTTGTGTGCCTGGCCCATCCTCCAGGTAGTTTACGGACTTATAAATTAGTCCCCCCCCCCAACTAGGCTTTCTTCTAAGCAACGCTTGAGTTTAGAAACTAGGTTGGTTGCGGGGGAGGGGAGCGCTATTTGAAGCCAGTGAATGAAAAACTGGTTGCAGGAGTGAATTTTCACGCTAACTATTCTTGGCGTCCTTTAACCTTCAGCGCGGCGATATAATGTGGGTAGCAAGTTGTTGAGGGCCGCTGTACAGCCTGGTGTTATTTTACAAAACATACTAGAGAGATACAAATGGAAAGGGGGTGGGGGGGGCAGAACTCTTCCTTTGAGATTAAAACCGACAGACTAGGGTTGATTTTGTTGTGGTGTAGGGAATGGATAAGGGAGACAGAAGAATAAGGGAGACTCAGAGCCCTCCCATCAGCCTCCTCTCATTGTCAGTATCAGTAGGGGGGGGGGGACGGGAACGAGGAGTGTAAAAGCACCTTTAAGTAATGTTGTCCGTATCTTTTCCAACAATGTTAGCGGAGTCCCCCTAAAAGCCACCGGAATTAAACGGGTTGGAACCTGGGGTACAGCAAAGGCAAGAATCCAGATTTCAGGCTCTGGTGGGGCTCGGAGCTGAATGTTTAGAGCTTCCTATACTTTCACCACCTGCCAAAATTGTGACCGGGTCAGGGGTTAGAATACAAAACATCTGGAAGTTGCTTCCCGGAAGCCTTTGTCTAATGAGCAGGAAAAGGTCACTTAGCAATTCCTTGTCTTCTCTTCCCTAGAAGAGGATTTGGTGAACGTTGATTCTCTCCCCCCCACCCCACTCTCCCTCTCCCTCTCTCCCTCCAGATGAAGGACTGTTTTAGATGGCCACCTTCAGACGGCCACCTTGGACACAGGTAGAGTGGAAGTGGTGGCTATGTGTTGTTAGAGCATTAAGGGAGGGAGGAGGAATGAGATCATACACCAGGAAAGGGGTCGCTTGCACATTCACCTGCATACACACGAAACTGACACTTTCGTGGGGTCTTCGTAGTCTTATTGGATGACCCACAGAAAGATCTGGACTGACTGACATTTGTTTGCCCGCAATCACAGGAAAGCAGCCCTTTGGGCCTTATAAAGTACCACAGTCTGAGAGTAGCTGAGACAATGGAACAAACCCCCTAACCTTTCCTTGGAGAAAGCACGAACTAGGAAAGAGAACTCCAGTGGTCTTCCTTCCTTCCTTCTTTTCTTCCTTCCTTCCTTCTTTCCTTTTTTCTTTCCTTCCTTCCTTCCTTCTTTCCTTCTTTCTTTCCTTCTTTCCTTCTTTCCTTCTTTCCTTCTTTCCTTCTTTCCTTCTTTCCTTCTTTCCTTCCTTCCTTCCTTCCTTCCTTCCTTCCCAATGTTGGCAAACATCCTGAATACAACAATGTAATTGTTCTTGTTTGGTATTTTTTGTTCTTAAAAGAACCAGTCTTTCTTTTACGAACAAAAACATTTTGGTCAAGGACTTTGTACTTCGTAACTTTGTTACCTAGTAATTATAAAATTATGTGTGCTTTTCAAAATAGGTTATTTTTTTTTCTGACCCCCCCCCCCATCATTCCCGTTTTCTGCAAAATTGTTCCCTAAGTAAATAAATAAAAATCTGTTCCCTAAATAAAATAAAAA